AGTTATTCATGCACACAAAGTATTTTCTCAATAATACTGTGTATAAAAGAAAAATAATAATGAAAAATGTGTCCCATTACAGGTGCCATATATGAAAGGGCAAGAGCAGGAAAAAGAAAGTAAAGACCGACCTTGTGGAACCCTATGCAAAAGCTAATTTGCTGCAATAGCAATACACACATGCACCCTTTTGAAACTTTAAAAAGCTTTAAAGAAGAAAACAAATACGTAGATATATATCCCATGACCATGCATATGAAGCCTTATCATTCAAAAAGAAAACTTGCCTCCGTTTTCTTCCTTCCTCCACTCATTATGCCTTAAATTTGTCATTTTTCAGCTTTGATTGAATGCGTCTAGTCTGGCCATATATATCACCTTTTTTTTAATTTCTTTTCTTTTAACGCTTAGCTAGCTTTATAGTTTAGGCTACTAATGCAGGTAATTTTCATGTTAAGCAGATCGTCATCTTTGACAAATGTCACGCGGTTTTATCTTTGACAAGTCAGATTTGGTCCCATATGGATATAAATATTATCACATCCATATGTTTCTATATTACTTTAAGCCCTTCTATCTCCAGAATTTCTATATATATAAATATATGCAGTTCCATATGGATATAAATATTATCACATCCATATGTTTCTATATTACTTTAAGCCCTTCTATCTCCAGAATTTCTATATATATATATGCAGTTTTAAACCATTCGTGCATCATAGTAGCGACCTACAACTGCATAATTGATTTTAAAGAATCATAATAAATTTGGACATGGGGTCTGTGTGTCGACATGTGTTTATTAATTGGTTACCATTTCAAACGTTCCCTCCCAAACGATGTCAATGCTATGTGGCCAACCTAGCGGACTTTGGACCCAAAAAAAAAAACAATATCAATTGGACAAAGTCTAACCATTTCCCCACATCCGTAATCAAACGAATAAATAGAAATAGTCAATTAAAAACAGATAAATTTCGAAGATCAAAAGAAATAACCTATATAATGTTTATGTTATTAAATTACCTACATAAATCATATACCGAAATCAAATTAAAATTAATCTAAGTAATGATATATAATAAGACACTTGAGAGGAATTTAAGGATGAGGCCTATGATATGATCATGAGGGTGACCACAAACGTTAATTATCTAATGACTAAACTCTAAACCATGCAATTATACTCATCCCACTAAACCCTAAAGCACTAACCATAATAAAAATCCAAAACCAAAATATTGCAAGGCATAATGTTGTCTGCAGTGGAGCTTAATTAGGTGGGGAGAGAGAGAGGCCCAAGTTCCCAAAGAGATTGATATTTGATTAGATGGGGTGGGGGCCACTGAAGGAGGGGCTACCTGCCTTTGCCTAAGCATTTTCTTTTCATTAAACTTCAATTCTCATCATCCATCATCCATCCCAACTTGTCAATGCCCAATCAATTACGCCGCGCCAAGTGTCCCCGCTCTCCCTCCCTCCCTCCCTTTGCTTTCATTTTCTGATTTTCCTTTTTTTTGATCTTTTTCTAAAAGCAAAAAATAAAATAGAAAATGAAAAACATGGGCCTATTAGGTGAGAGGCTCCCATTCTCAACAAAAGGGGCATTGGTGAATCATTAGCTACTAAATATTCAATGAGCTTATCATAACTTACTTTTGCTTTGGCCTTATCTTACAGTGCTATGCTATTTAGACGGAAGCTGTTCTAACTTTAACTTAATCTGCTTTTCATCATTTCGTTTATTTTTGCCAATTAATTATTTTTATTTAAATTAAAAGAATGCTATATTTGTAGGGTAAGCCAAAGCCACCCTCTCCTTTTTCTCCTTTGTTTTATCATGTTTGTTACTTATTCTATCTACCAACTTAATGTATAACCAAATTTTGGAAAAATATTATACCATTTTAAAATAAATTGATGGTGCAGATGAACGTAAAATAATTATATATACCAAGTCCAGATATTTAGGTCTATATATATAGTAATATTTTTAAGGACATTTCTTATTGAGAGGAGCGATAACATACTAAACTCACACACACTACACGGATGCTAGGATTTGAACCCATGAGGAAAAAATAAAAAACCTGTACTAACTTTGGAACGGATCAAAACGTGTAGTTACATGCTTTAACTGGTTTGTTCGAGCATGTTTATGGCCAAGTACATCTCCGAATTTTTCTTCTACCCTTTACAGGTGAAAAAGTTTCATTTTAATTAAAGAATTCCTACAATTTCCCCACGAAAAGGGTCCATAATCAATCCTTTTAGTCCCCATTTTCAAAGAATGAAAAAGAAACGGCAAGAAAAGAAAAGGAAGGAGGAAAAGAATTTTAAAAAGTTAAAAAAAATACCAAAAAAGAAAGAAGAAAAAAAAGTTTTTCTAGAACAACTTAGTTTTATATATAAGAGAAAAACAACCAACCCCTAGCTCAATCCATTCCAAATACTAGTTAATAATTTGGATATAGATAGATAATATACTTAGTTAATTTTAATCCTATAATTAAACATGTTTTAGGCCCCTCATCATGAGGAAAGACGTGTGTATTCAAACATTATCTTCCGATTTGTCACTCGGTCCGAGTGTTTTTCGGAAA